ATATTTTTCATATCAAATAACAAAATCTATTTGATCACATGGGTAATGGATAAAATAAAGGTTTCTTTTTTTATAAGAAATTTGATGCAATCAACTTCTAATTACATTTTCACAATAAATATATTATGTTATTTATAAATATTAGCTATTACATATTAAGTTACTCCAAATATTACAAATATTCAAACAGAAAATAATACTATTTAACTTTTGAAACATTAATCAGTTAACATAAAATTCTTCATTATTTTAATGTTTATGATCACATTGAAATCATCATTCCGTTAAGTTACTTCTCAATGCATATCTTTAATTTTCTCAAGAAATTGTTTTTTGTTTTTTGAATAACACAAAAATATTGTTTTTGTTATTCAACAGTCTAATTAATTTCAAAATAGAAAACTTACAGTGCTTTAGTTCCTTTTATATGTTGTTGATGTATTTTTTCATAATAATGTGCTAATTTACTATGATCAATAACATGAAGATAATATTGAACAGATTTATCAGACCAACTAACTTTTCCCAAAAATTCTTCTGGTTTTCTAATAAAAAAACAATAATAAAATATTAAATAAAAAAAAAAAAATTCAATTTTATTCTCTTACGTAACATGCATAACAGCTCCTAAATCATTTTTTGTTCGATCATTAAGTCGAAATGCTTCAGGACAAAATTCTCTTGATGAAACAATTTTTGCTCCATCTAATTAAAATATAAAAATATAAATATAAGTTCAATTGAATCAATTTATTATCTATGTTTGTTTTTTTTTTCTATAATTCTCATTTTTAAATCTTTATTATGAATATAAAATTCATATCTTTTATTTTAATCAAATTTTCTTAACTACTATCGATAAAAATATAAATCTACTAATTAAGAGAGAAACTTAAATATACAATGTCTATAAAAATCATTCAACTAGATTTATTTATCATTGCTATCAACGCTAATAAAAATTCAAATAGTAATTTATGTGAAAAATTGTATTCCGGAAAAGAGTTCTATGATTTGAAAAACATTTCCGGTTCATAAAAACGAAAACACAATCGGTTTCTAAAAAGTATTTTTTTTTTAATTTCTATCTTTCATTTTTCCAACTTGTTGATATTTATTATATGATTGAAAACTTAATTTCTTCAAAAGGAAAGACTGTAACAAAACGTGTTGATAGTCTCCGTTCCACTGCCACCCTACAAAACAATCGAATTCAACAATTTTTTAGCATGTTCAAAAAGGAACTCATAGAACCAACAATAATCTATTTATTCACCATTTTCAGGTCTTTCAAAAAGTTCCTCACTATTCTGGAACAAACAAAGCCCAAAAATTCAGTTCGTCTGAAATGCTTTCAAGAAAATCAAGCATGTTCATGGGAAACGTCGGTCCTCAACTTTCGTCCAAACAAATATCCTAACAAATAAAAAGTGTACAAGCATCTTGTCTAGAAATTTTCCAATGATACTCCTTTTTTTTCTAATATTATTCTATCAGAATGATTCCATAGATCTTTAAATAATAAATCTATTTTTTTTTTTCGTACTACCTTTCATATTCATAAATTTAACTTTAAGTTCATGATTAACTCTTGCACCAAATACATAATTATTAACAAATATAACATCTGCTTCTTTAATTCTTTCTTCTATCATTGAATGTGTTAAAAAATCTCCTTGATCTAATTGAAATTCTGAATATTGTTTTCCATACCAACGCATCCATGAACGAAATTCATCAGCCATAGCACGTGCATATGTTGCTGGAATTTCTTCATATTCAATTCCATATACATGTTTACAATTAGCTAATGCTGCTACATGTAAAACAACATTTCCAACACCTGAACCAAGATCAATAAATGTTTGATCTTCTGTTAAATTAATCAATTTAAGAATTGAATCAATTAAATCTGGTGATGTTTCACCATAAACCTTAACGAACAAAAGAAAATCATTAGCAAAATTTTAGTTTGAAAAAAAAAAAAAATGTCGCATTTACTGAAGGTGAAAATGGTTCATAAGCACGTAATTTATCAGGATCTGTTACAGCTCGACTATAAACTTGAGCAAGAATATGACGGAATAATTTTGATGTAGCACGTTTTTCAAGATGAGCTGAAAACGATTCTGTACCACGATTTAATTTAATATGTGTATCAATTATTTTATTAAATTTATCACATAATTCTTTCATATGTGTATATGAATGTATATCACATGTAGCAAGACCAAGATTTTGTTGATATAATTCAGGATAATCTTTTGTAAAATTAAAAATAAAAATAGAGAAAATTTTCGTTTAACAAATTAATTCAGTAAAAAAAAAAGTGTTTACCTTCAAAAACTAAACGTATTGTTTTAACAATTTCATCACCACCAACAAAAACAGAATCTTTTTTTGTATTCTTTAAAATAAAAATAACTAGATAAAAAAAAAAAAAAAAAAAAAAAAAAAAAAAAACAAATACTTGGCGTTCAATAACCGTCCAAATAAATACTGCTGGTTCAACACCAGCTGGACTATGAAGTTTAAGTTCACGCAGTACATTATTACTTGTCATACTCATCTAGCAATAATATTAATAATAATAATTATTCACAGAATCGCGTATTTGATAATATAGTAATCTCTTTTAGTTATTTATAGTTCGATTGAGTCAGCTTGGAAAATTCACTTCATTAAATTAGTAATAGGATGAAACCACATGGGTTCGTTTCTGTTGCTGGCGTTTTTTTTTTCTTCTCTTCTTTCCTTTTGATTAAAGAACGACAACAAACGTCTACACCTACATATTTATTAACAAGATAGAAGACTGGTCCAAATGAATCAACAAATCGTACTTCATTTTCCCGCCGAACAGATTGGTAACGCCCTCTATTTAGTGGAACAAACAACAAACAACACGATATCAGGTCATATAATATCTGTCAACAAAAGCCAATCAACGTCAAATGCATTAATTTTAGCGACATTCGGATATCATGAAAACATCAGTAAATATATTATATCGGAGAATCTATTTTATATTTATCAAAAATGAGTCTTGCATAAAAGATGTCGCTATCCTACAATAATGTTTGAACCACAGTATACAACAGACTTTATATGTGAGAATAATACAAACATGATATGATACGATAATTAACTTCTTAATTGTATTTAATCAGAAGAATTTATTATCATAAATAATCTACATTAGTGATCTATGTTATATAATGACGATATCAGCCTTTCAACTTAAGTGTATTAATGGATTTTCAGTTTGATATTGATTTGATAACTGATGTATATGTAATCATAGATGAGTCGTGTGAACAGTGCTGCATGTAGAATTTTATGATAAATCAATGTTTTATGACTAGAGTAGTAATCAATGTCTAGCTATCGCATGAACTCTTATGTATAATTGTTGAAAGCACGTTTGAGTGTGACAAGCTGAATAACTGACGAAAATCTCGAGAGAATGTTAAATGCTAAAGAAAATACTAGACTTGAATATGTTTAGCAAAGTAAATTTCGATTATACATTGATTTGCTTCAAAAAAACTAATAATTTGTTTTTAAATTTAAATATGTATAAGATAGTCTTTGAAAGAGAATAAATTTAGTTTATATTGATCAGATTATTTTTCGTATTAAATTAAATTAATAGCTATATCTTAAGAATACTTACTAGATTAGAATAAAATATACAACCAGCTGAAGCAAACTTACATTGATTTTTCTTTTTTGACTTTTATTAAAAAAGTGTTCATAACTTTTACAGTTCTGATGAAATAAAACTAATTTCGTCATACCAGTAGTAAAAGAAACACTTCTCTACATGTTTGTGTTATCAAACTTTTAAAAGCTTGTTGACATCAATCTTTTTTGTTGTGTGTCTAGAAATCAGCAATAAACATGGGAAAGATATACTCATTCTTTATTGTAGACATCAGTACCATTATTATCAAAATACGATCCATTCATGTATATTGTCAACTATGAGAAAATATTCATCACTTAAATCTGTTTTAGGATTGTCGATATTGTTTAGGGGTGAAAGGGACCACAAATTCAGCAGAAAGTGCTAGAAGTGGTGGTAGGAGCAGAACAAAATCCACCGTGGCCCGATCTATTCCACATCATAGACAACCTAGCACTAGAAGAGCCGATCGGATCCAAAATTTGTTGACCCGAACTCGAACCCGATCGAACTGTACTTTCATAGCTTCAATGAAGTTTTGTAATTGCAATAGGATAGTCACATCGGAGA